GTGTATTATTTTCGTTAGGTGTATGCAAATAGAGTGCCAATCGTCGGACTATAAAAGAGTAATTATGCTATAAAGTAGACTCCAATTCTACTGGTTTCCTTGMAAACTTATAATACAACAGACTGACAAATATTGGTTTTCACTGGAACTGATACTTACTTAGACACTAAACCTATAAAATCCTTTTAATTCTTTTTTTTTTTGAAATAATTAATTAAATATATAAAAAAGTAACTTGTTTTCTTTAACTGGAATATGAATATTAGAGATTAATAAACAAAAGTATAATCAATTCTTTATCATTCAAATAAAAACCACTAGAGTACAAACACTWAAACTGTGCAACATAAATACCACTAAATACTGCTAAACTATGCTAATTCTATTGTTTTCTATTGTTTAGTTACGTTAACACAATTTTGTAGTAAATAGTGGAAAGTGTTGCTCTTGTACTCTATAGCTGGTTGAAACAATTACTAGATAATGTTGAATAGTTTTTAATAGCCATATTCCAACAAAAGAGAGCAAATTTTGATGGGCTTTTGGTCTGCTAGTGGAGTTTTTCCTTAGGGTGTCTTTGAGTGACGTAACAAACTGTAAATCTAGCGTTGAGTCAACTGACAACTATTACAACTATTCAGACAATTCAAAACAATTTCTAAAACTTTGCACAGTAAATTATTTAAAAGAGCTTTGTGGAGCAGAAATACAAATTAAACGAAAAAATAGGAAAAAGCAGAGAAACTACCCCCACAAAATGCTTTCAATCGTTATATTTATTGCTCATCTTATACTGTTGATGTTCACAGTTTATGGTTTAACCAATCTTTACTCAGACTCACACTGCAGGAAACGTTCTGCTCTCTGGTTGTATGTATTAACTGAAGAATGTGCATCGAAGCACATTTTAATAACGGCAGCGCCTTTCTGATACTAGTTGTGTAGACTCATTTTCCTAAACAGAAGGAAAGAGTTGTCCTGAAATTCTTTCTGAGAAATGTGGCGATACAGTGATAATGGTAAGTGTCATTACGCAGAAATTTTACTTGGAAACGCGGTTTGAGTCGCTAATAATGAAAATAAATACATGTACTTTTTAGGTTGATCTAATGTAGTGTTTACTATAAACGGTGATCAAAAGAAAACGCCTTCGCTTCCAGATAATTCCACGAGAAACTACTCTTCCTTCTTGACATATCGGTAAGTAAAACCTTTCAGAACTTTAACCTTCTTGACAAAACCCCTAACTATGTTGCAATAAAGTGTTGAAAGTAGTGATTTCAAAGGCCCGTTTACACTTACGTTTTTTGCAGCGCGATTATCGCGCGACACATCGCCTGAGTTTCGAACATGCTTGAAATTTAGCTGCAACTCGCAGCGATTTTCGATCGCCGCAACAATCGCAGGTCTGTTTACAAGTGTGAATTGCAAGGTTCGCGAGTACCAAGTGGCGATTGTCGCGCGACAATTGCGCTGCAAAAATCTAGTGTAAACGGGCCTTAAGTAGTGATCCAGTGAAGTAAGCAAACTTTTCATCAAAATTGCAATAAAGTTTAGAGAGTGAACATTCAATAGGATATTTTCTTGGTTGGCTTTGATGATGTACTGTAAATCTAGGGTTTTTTAGCTGACAACATTTTGTAAGTATTGCCTAAAGTAATAAATGTAAAATTGGATGGAAAAATAGGGAAAAAGCAGGGGAAAAGTTTGTATCAATTACCATCAAGATATTATTCAGTATATTTTTGATGTTTACATCGTTTCACCAATCATAATCACGCTGCAAGAAACGTTCTGCTCTCTGGTTGTATTTAACTGAAGAATGTGCAACGAAGCATTTTTTAATGATGGAAAGAGCCTTTGAATTCTTAGTCTTGCAGTCTTTCATTCGGTAATAAAGACCTATCTTGCTTGTAAACGGCATTCCAAGAATTTTTATACCTGCATCTAAGCTATTTAGTCGGACTAGCCGAAGGCGGTCCGACTTTAAATTTACCTTTTAGCCAATCTATCTAT